CGTCAGACAGCGGGCGACCGCTTGCGCTGGGCCCAGGGACTGTCGCGGGAAGGTGAAAGGCCTGGCCCGTGGGACTCCCCCTCTCCAGAACCTGAGACGTAGAATTCCCGAGGGGGACCGCGACCGCCTGGTCTGCACCCGGAAGGACTGAAGGGGACATTCTCACACCCCGTTCACGGCAGCATCACGCACGGCAGCCTAGCGTGGGAGGGACCCACGCGGTCACCGACGGACGGGGACACGGCGTGGTCTGACCACGCAGCGCAGTGTTACCGGCCTGAGAGTACATGGCACAACACGGATGTGCCTCGAGGACACTCCGCTGAGTGACACAGGCCAGTCACAGGACAGGCTGCGGCGTGGGCGGCATCTGTTGCCTCACGTCGGGAGTGACCTCTGACACTTCTGCCCGGCCCGGCGTGGTCTCGGAGTTGCCAAGGAAACCACACGGGCCACACGGCTGGAGCCGGCTCCGCTCTCTGGGGCAGGGACGGCCAGGCCACGGCCCTCTGGGCAGCCACGCAGGCCAGGGCCGCACGCACCCCTCCCAGGCTGCGGCGGGAGGGCCGCCCCTCCCTGCAGGGGACAGGCTCCGCGGGAGCCCCGTGACACACACGGACACTGACGCAGAGCGCGACACGTGGACTCTGAGGCGGGGAACGCCGTCCCACGGCTGGCACCAGCCCGGCTGGGCGGCTGGGCGCTGGGCGCTCCGCCCCCCGCCCCGGCGCTGCGGGACACGGCCCGTTCCCAGGCGGCTGTGCTGGGCTCAGAACCCGCAGGCGTGGGACTGGGGTTCCGGACACAGACAGGGCCTGACACCACTCCCGGGGGGCCTGGCGGGTGTCGGGGGCTGGGAGGGGACGGGGTTCAGTCTGGGGAGATGAGAAGGTTCCGGAGATGCGGGTGGGGAAGGCTGCACGGCAGAGCGAAGGCGCTCCACACCGCTGGGCCTCGTGCTCAGAAACGGCCGCGCCCGGTCTTCTATCCCCGTAACCAAAAAGGTAGTTTTGGTTGAAAACTTTTGGGAAAAACTTCCAATGGTCTGAGCCGCCGGCATTTGAGCCAGTTTCTCTCTTAAACTCCACAGTCCTTCTCAGAGAAATCCCGTCGTCCCTGTCACCTCCTGCTGGTGTGGGGACGGCCCTGTCACCTCCTGCTGGCGTGGGGACGGCCCTGTCACCTCCTGCTGGCGTGGGGACGGCCCTGTCACCTCCTGCTGGCGTGGGGACCTCCTGTGCGTGGGGATGGGCCCTGTCACGCTCCTGCTGGTGGGGACGAGCACTGCACCTCCTGTCTGGTGTGGGGACGGCACTGCTCACGCTCCTGCTGGTGTGGGGGGGCCCTGTCACCTCCCTGCTGGTGTGGGGATGGCGCTGTCACGCTCGCTGCTGGTGTGGGGGAACGGGCCCTGCCACCTCTAAAGGCTTGGTGTGGGGGCGGCCCTGCCACGCTCCTGTGCTGTGTGGGACGGCCCCTGTCACGCTGCCTTGCTGAGTGTGGGGGATGGCCTGTCAGCCTCCTGCTGGTGTAGGGACATCGCTGTCACGCTCCTGCTGGGCATGGGGACGTCCC